AAGAAAGTCAAAAAGCAAAATTATACATTTAATCGACAACAACAAGGACCAGTAAAAGAAAAAGTGTATCTATGAAAGTTATGTGTAGGCAGTTGCCTATTCTGCCTATAGGCAGCTACGCGCCTGGTAACCAACATTAACAACTATAGCTTGGGGATAGTGACGTGAATAAATTACAGGGGAAGTTAGAAGAGAGTTGGGGAAATGCAGTATAAAATATTCATAAAATCAGTACATTGTGGTCAAGAAAAATCCTTCTGTTGAGTCATCGTTCATATACTTTATGGTTGATTTTCATATGTATATTAAGTAAGATCGAAATAAACAAGCTGCAATATAATGCTTATATAAAATATACTCTATGATAATCACGTGGATGTTTTCCCTACGCATACCGTCGTTGTGATAGACTGTTCACACTCCATACACTGTTATACATCCCGTGTCGTTGTCGTTCTCCTGTTCATTCTTTTCCTCATGGTATATCCATTTCCACTAGACTGTTTGCATCGGGAAAGGCCATGACTTACTTTACATATGATTTATGTTATTATATGAATACAAAAGTCATTTATTAAGAATCTTATTCAAAAACGTCACAAGATAATTAATCATAAATCAATTGATTTATTATTATGTTAGCAACTCGGCTATTTCTTTTTACATATGATCGCATGTATGCATCTATCATACATACATACATACACACATACGTACGTAAGTGCATACCTACCCCATATACCCCTACCCTACATGCATAGTTATGTACCCACGTACGTAAATGCATGCACTCCTACACACTCACACATGCATGCATACACACATACATGGTTTGAGCTACTCAGAATCCAAAACTATGTGAAACAGCATGTATACATTAATAACAATATCATCATAATATTATATCACCCTATTGTTGTTGAAATCGCTTAGACTTAAGGATGTAATCCTGAACAGCGAGGACAATTATTTTGTTTTCTTCTAAAGATAATGATTCATCGCCATATAATAATAATTTGACAGTTATTTGATACTGAAGGGTTTCAATGTATAGTTGTATGATGGCAGTGTATAAGGTACAATCTATCAGGTAATGAGAAGTGTTTTCGATGCTGCCGCATGCGCATAGAGGGGATCTAACAATGTTTTTCCTATATAAATGTTCATTAAGAGAGCTGCTTGACATGCGTAGTCGAGCCGTATATTTGTCCTAATCGTGAGCCATATGAGTAGTGTTTTGGTAGAGGTTTTTTGTTGTTGCGTTTAATATGTGATTTAAATTGATAAATGGAAGGGTTTCTCGTGACGTTAACTGGAATTGAGTTACAGCTATTGATAACAGAGGGCAAGAAAGATCTTTGATACACATTAGAATGACAATGAATGGGAGCGATAGTTGTAACATCCGAATGTCTAGTATTATGGCTATGTATTCCAGTGACTGATTGTGGTACAAGACGGTTGAGGTATTGGGGGTGTTTTGGTAGAACATTTTGTTGACAACAATTAGTTTGTTCAAATCTACTTCTATATACAGTTTATACTATGCTTGTCAGTTTGGTTGCACCAGATACAATCCCAGCTGCTGCAGTATTAATTTGTTCCAGTTTATCACTATATTCATCGGTAATATTATCCCACACTACGTCAGCATATTCAATAATAGGTCCGATAAATGAAAAGTAAATAGCCTGTAATGTGTTTCGGTCGAGTTTGAATGTTAGAGAACGTAGAATATTGATTCTGACTGAGGCTTTATTAATAATTTAAGTAAATGTTTGACCCAACTCCCGTCATTCGAAAAAAATACTCCTAGGTGCTTGTGTACTTAAACATTTGTTATTTCTTCATTATTCATTCATGTACAACGTTTGGTGATCAGGTCTTCGTTTTTTTATACTAATTAACATACTTTCGGGGGTTTTAGGATCGAAGCTTACCAACCACGATTTCGACCAGTTTGTTAGTGTTTGTAGGTCTGCCTGATGAGCGGTTCCTGTAGTAGTTGGGTTATCGACAATCATGCATAGTGATGTATCGTTTGCAAATAATTTAATAATATAATTTATATGTTGTTAACGATATCGTTTATGTAGATAAGAAATAGGTGAGGGCCGGGAATTGACCCTTGATCTATGAGGGGCCCCTGCTTTGACTTTACGTGGGTTGTCTCGGTAGAACAGATATGTTAAGTTGTTATTGGTCATATTGTGTGGTAAATCGCTGTTTTTGTTCGACACTGACGTCACGATCTTTTGTTGTTAACTTGTTATGCATAAACTTCCTTGTTAATACGATAATTATCTTACATTGAAACACCTAACTGAGTTACATTATGTATGAATCGATCTTCTATAGTAAGCAAATTGAAGTTGGTGCTGTTTATATATTGTTCATGTAAACTAGAAAATATCGGGCCGAAAACCGTGTTTCTTTATTCATGTCTATGCATTAAAATTTTGCATTTAATTCCTTTGAAATTAAAAACGTGCAAATAAAGATATAATTAAATCAAATTGAATTTTGTTACCGTTAAATTCTAGAACCTGCATTGAACCAAGAACTAGAGAAGACTGCTACGTTTGTTGTTTTAAAAACTGAAAACGTCATTGCAAATACATTTGTCTTCTGGTATGAGACAGGATAACACAATTCAAGAAGCACAATGGCTATTTTATCATTCACCTGTAATGCAAAACATCTGTGACCTTCAAAGCGAGTAAAGGTCAAACTTGGAACAAATTGATAGCAAAAAAGCTAGCACTACATGAAGATTGTTTTGCAGCTTATGGATCTTTATTGAATATGTAAACCTATTTAAATCATGTTGCCTAAAAAGTAGGTCAGGGTCATTTATTTGACATTGAGACCTTGAAGGTGGATCTATGCAGTAAGTTTTAACTTCGGCAGCACCCCGAGCGCGTAGCGCGAGGAGGGGGAGGCTACGGGAGTGGGTCGTCCCCCTCTCGCAAGGGGGGTTTTGGGGATCTCCCCCCCACAAAATTGTGTTTTCTAGAACGTCTCAGAAGCGATTTCCCGTGTTCTGAGGATTGTTTTGATGTTTAATTAACAATAAGAAAAAAACATATTTTAAGTATGGCCCAAAGACTTTTTTTTGTGTACTGGAAAGAAAATTAAAGTTTCGGTTCAAATTCTCTATCAACAGTGTGTTTTAGAAGTCGGATGGTATTCTTATAGGGGCAACCTGGTGATGAAAAATGTATGAATCCACAGGGGGGTTGTTCATTATTACCTAATTTGGCGTCCCGCCCGCAAGGGGGATACGAGAGGTCCACCGTCAAAAAATAAATGTAGGGACACACAATATCTAGTCTTCAGACATTGTACCTACAGTACAGTACTTCATGTAATAGTTTGTCGTACAAAAGAACAAATAACACCATAAAATCGTTGCTGTTTAATTAATGAGTTACTCATGGCATCACTAAGTTGCTAAACAAACGGATAAGTTCAAATCAGTGCGACACCCAAGGCCACTAGCTATATAGTCTCGCGTTTTATAATTGTTGACTAATTCACTAGTGTGGACAATTATATATCTGAAATGTCCACGCTGATTAACTCATGTAAGGGCGTGCATATTACCAACAGTGGTACATTTGCTAAGCTATCTGGTTAAAATAGTACAACCTAGGAGGCACATACGTATACGCGTCACCTTTAAATTTAATTTAAGCTATAAGTACCACAATGAGATAGTATGTTGTACATACAAGATAGTTAAACAGTTCCAACAATATATATAATACCAAAATAATTGAATGGATATGTTTCGTCGATTATCAGCCGAAAAAAACCCTTTATCGTTCTTGTATAATGATATGACTAATATCGCCCGGGCGGTTAGTAAGGTTACAATAAAAAGTATTAATTTTCAGATCATCTATAACGAGCGGTCAATAATACAATTATGCAACTTATGCTAGTATATTTCCGCCGAGCGTTGCAAGTTGCAACTTGGGGTTTTGCGGAGGTGGTAAAATAAAAAAAACACACTTTAGGGTCAAGATACAAAGTAGACGAGCGTAGCGATGCCAACAAATATTGTTTTAATAAATAAAATATAGTAAAAATATCAGATAACGGAAACCCACAATATTTGCTAGGATGCCGTTTTTTTTTATACAAGCTCGGTGCATTATTTGATGCATTTTAAAATGTTAATATGTTCCCATTCCCGG